ATTATAAAGCCCGCTTCGTCGAGTTGTAGACGTCTTTGTCACAGATGCTGTACTTAGCCTTTGTCTTCTCCACAAGCTTAAACTAGCTCTTAATTAAGACTAGATCTTCACACAAGGCTCTCTGCCTATCGTACGCTCGATTAAAACGCGTTGTAAGACTGTCAGTACGCTTGACAAAGTTGCGCGGCCAGTGGACGCCAACCTGGCCAGCGCCGCGCGCAGCCAGCAGTCTATCAGCCATATCTCGCACAGCTGCATAGGTAGGCGAAAATCCACGTAGATCCAGATGAAGTACATGATCAATTATCACCTGCTCTTCTAGCTTAGTAAGCTTCTTTAAGTTGGGCTGGCAATCGCGTCGGGCAGGCTTGCCGACGCGTCGGCGGCGGATTGTTTGTTCTGACACGTTATAGATAGCAGCAGCACTGCGATTACTCTATATCTGACCAGATTCAATAGAGGATATAGCGAGCTGGATATCTACTTCATTTAAAGCTAACTGACTAGCGTTGCGTTGAGCCATTATGTATTGAGATGAGAGAGGTGCACAAAGTTGGTGGGGTGCGGCGCTCGCTTGTACGCGGCGCTCGCTTGTAAAACACGTTACGCAAGGACCATGATGGCAATATTGATTTGGCGACAAAACCGAACAGGGATCTACTCCTTGATTTGATCCAAATGCTGCTCCGCAAGTGTTATCACGGCCTTTGATGCAGCGTCCCTATGAGGTGTTAACTTATATTTTGATATAGTATGTGGGACAAATTTACGGTGCACAACTGCCATCCCTGGCACCATGCAGCTGCCTGGCAAGTGAAAAGGAGCACAGAAACTAAACAGTTCACTTTCATTTTTTGGGTAAACGTAGATTTTGTGTAATGGCGGATAGGTGTAAGATAAGAAGTAGAAAATTCAGAGACAACTTTGATGCTTGTGTAAAAACCTAGGGTAGACAAGAAACGTGATGACATTGCGTTGTATCTTATATCAATGTTCCCTAAGCTGCGTGTACTACCCCCGTATTGCAACCTGTTACCCACTACGGCGCGTCCTAGCTTTTGGTCTTCATTAACACCGTAATTGTAGTTTACAAGGTATCTGTACGTAGATTATGCAACCCCTGAACAATAGGCCCTTTGGATACGAACAAGCTCAGATGCTAATAGCATAGTGCTTATGCAGGTGCCTTCCAAACGTTCTTCCTCTCGGTCCGATGAATTTTGTCGCTCACAAAATAGAAACGCTTTTCTCTGTACCCAAGTAAAATGTTCTCAACTTTTAGTCGTCTTGCATAACAGAACATGTCAGTAGAATTTCCTCTCTATTCAAAAAGATCTATATGTATGGCCAAAAATCTTGAATTCGCAAGCAGCTATGAGTATAAAAGGGCTCCAGACGCACTGAAAGATTGTTGGCACTAGTTAGTCTAATTTTTGTGAGTGTAACGGTAGTATTATCAACACCCCTGTCAGCACGAACTCTTGAGAGGCATCTCCGAAATGAACAAGTATGAATTCTCCCCTTAAATAGTTAAACGTCAGGATGCCACATTCGTTTCGTGCGCATCTCGGCCCATGATTGCCTTCGCCGATCTCTAAGAGCGTTCTTATTTAACATATCGAAACTTCGACGAAGAAAATGCTTGACTCTGTTTTGCCCTATCGATCGGAGCTGCTAGTTACCTTTTTAGAGTAGTGGCGGTCTTGGTGTGAGAAAAGGTTCAGGTCATTGACCTATATTTAGCAGGTAGGAGACATCCAACGTAAGCACACCCTTTGCATAAGTACTGACATTAAAAAATATGACAACACATGCACAGTTACAACTTCGTAGTGAGCAGACTTTCTGAGCGTAACAATCATTTAACTATAAACAACTATTCTTTTAAAGAAGCAAATCAATCCAACCCAAAACTCCAAAGCCAAAAACAAGTACTATGAATGACCGCAGCGCTTAGACCTTCACCAACAACTTAACCATTTGCCCAAACAGCGAATGGTCAATGACTTCCTCCACACTCAACTCGTTACAGACACCCAGTTGCTGTAGTTTGGTAACCAAAACCGCCGCCAAAACCAAATCGCCTCCCAATTGGAAGAAATCGCTGTGGTAATCCAACGCCATGGTCTGATCTTCAGAAAGACCCAGAATCTCCTGCCACAGAGCTGCCAACGTTGCCTTTGGCTCAGCGTATGCTTGTTGATGGAAGCCATTGACACCGTTCGTGTAACCATTTGTGTAGCCATCGTCGCGGGTCAGGGGCAGACGCAACCCACTTTCACTGCGCAACACTTCTCCAACAGTCTTGCTTTCGTCTTCGCCAACCGCTGAAATAATCTCGCAGAGAACTTCAAGAACAGTTTCCCATTTTGCCTTACCGATGATAACATCAGAGCAAATCATCGCCACCTCCGTCACTTCACCGCCTTTTAGCGGTGTGGTTTTGATCGCCACATCAGCTTCATCAGCTTCCGGACACCAGGCGCCCACTTGTCCTGCTTCGGTTGTTTCGTCAATGTTTTGATGTTGCACAACACTGCTGAAACGTGTGTGTTGTGGCCAGGCTGTGCACTCTCGGATGATCGTTCTTGTGCCAACGGTAGCTTCGAAGGGGTAACTAGAGGCATGCTGGTCTTGGATCTGGCGCAAAAGACTGAGGATTGAGGTAGTGTCTTTGAGACCAACCCGCACGGGGATAATGTTCAGGCAAGGTCCCATGAGGGCCGTGAGGGATGGTGGCCGACCAGAGACGACGTGCCCGAAGGTTACATCGTTTGACGAGGACATACTGTGAACCGTGAGGGACCAGGCGAGCTTCAGAATTGTGGCAAAAGTAATGCCGTGGTTTGCTGTGACATTTGACGGAGTAGGAATCATCTTCGTCAAGTACGTGTTGTAGATGTTCTTGTAGGATGGTGTTTCGTGAAGAGGTTTGACGATCTGTGTCATAGTCGAGCCGTTGAGAAGAGATTTCCAGTACTCTACAGCTTCTGATTGTTGGGCTGGCGAAGCTGCCTGTTCCTGGAAGTATGGTGCCATCGATGAGATCGGACCCGCTTCTTGACCTTGCAACGCTGCAGCCAAGGTGTTCAAAAGCTGCGGCAGACAAGAGCCGTCGTACTGTGCATGGGAGATGCGCATGATGAGGCGGTATGAAGCTTCCGAGCCAGCTTTGCTCACCACGAAGAATTTCAACAGTGGATCAGCCATAATCACTGGAAGTTCGGCATCTTGTTTGCAGATCCGCTTGGTCTGCGGTTCGATGTCATCTCCAGCCTCATGCCATTCAATCTCGTACGGGAGATCACGAAGCACCGTCTGGACAATATCTGCTTCATGAACAGCGAATACTGTACGGAGAATCTCGTGCTGCGCCACGAAAGCTTTGAGTGCACCAGTGATAAGGTTGGTCTCCGCATCGCTATCACGGTCCAGCCAGAGGTAGTTCCTGAATCCACGAGTCTTGATCAAGGCATGCGCAACAGCATTCTTCTGGAAGTCAGTTGCTGGAAGAACGTCCAAGATGTTATCCTCAGCAGTCTTGATCTGTACTGCGAGCTCCTTCACCAGCTTGAGTTGTGGCTTGGTCGTGATGAGGGAGAATGGCTCGTAGGGCGCCACATCTTTTTGTTCCTCAGAATGTGTGCGTCCGTCGACGGATTTGGCCATTTCTGAAAGAGCAGGGCTTTGGAAGAAGTCTGTGACTGACAACTTGATGCCACTCGCAGCGGCTGTCGATACCAGCTTGATAGCGAGGATTGAGTCGCCACCAATTCGGAAAAACTGGTCCTCGGTACCAATAGCATCAGCGTCTACCCCCAGGGCTTCAGCCCAGAGATCACGCAGAGCATATTCTGTTGTAGTTGATGGCTGTTGCTTGTTGCTTGTCAACGAAACCTGTAGACCATACTCGAGTAGCTGCTCCCTAGTGAGAGATGAGACCAGTTCCTTGAGCTTGCGGCGGTCCGTCTTGCCGTTCATTGTCAGTGGCACCCGAGAAATGGGTATGAAGTAGTTGGGCAGCATATAATGTGGTAAAGCACCTGAGAGCGATGCTTGCAGTGCCACTAAGTTTTCCTTGATTGGCTCCAGCGGAAGAACACGGGTTTCTCCAGCTGGGGTGGCGGTGGGTTGGAGGTATGCAATCAATGCAGTGCGGCTGTCGAGGCTCTCCGGGCGAGCTGAGTCGACAACGACATGCTCAAGTGTAGGAAGCCTTGTCCGGATGGCGTGTTCGATTTCGCCGGCCTCGACTCTCTGACCGCGAATCTTCATCATGGTGTCTTTGCGCCCAACGAAATGGATAGTACCATCTTCGTTGTAACGAACAAGGTCTCCTGTGCGGTAGAACCTCCTTGGCTTGTTGCTTGACTTGGCCCAAGAAGGATCGGTAACGAATGCCGCAGCGGTCTTCTCTTCATTGTGCAAATAACCTCTAGCAACAGTGGGTCCTTCCAGTAGCAGCTCACCTGTGCAGCCGATAGGCACAAGCTTGTTATGATCTGAAGGATCCACGATCCAGTTCAAGACGCCAATCGGAGAGCCAATATCAGCTGGATCACTGGAAGCTGTGGCTGGAGGCGCTCCCGATGAGTAAATTGTTGTCTCAGCTGGTCCGTAGCACACAATGAGGTCCAGGACACTGTGCCATTTGTCGATGATGGCTCTGGTGCTAGCTTCGCCACCAAGAACTAGCTTCCGAAGACTGGGAATACCCTCGGCTGGCAGAAGTGAGGCGACCGTTGGAGTCAGGAAAGCCCAGTTGCATTGGAATCGGTTGATAGCGCCTGCAAGGTCATTCCGACGTTCATTCTCAGAAGGCACACATATGCAGCCACCCCTTTGGAGTGTGGTGAAGATATCTGCCGCTGAGACATCGAACTGGTAGGCTGCAAATTGAAGAAGGCGAGTCGATGGGCCAATGTTCCAGGCTGTTCCATGTGCCTTGCTGCTGGAGCAAAGACTGCGATGCTCGATAACGATTCCTTTGGGGAGTCCAGTCGATCCAGAAGTGAAGAGAACATAGGCTGGATTATGGGGGCTGATGGTAGGCAAAGCAGTTGTGCTCGTAAGGGGCAGGTTGGCGAAGTACTGCTCATCAATAGCAATTGTTGTCAGGCCAGCTACCTTCTCGAACCTCTCTTCTAAATGAGAAGCTGTCAGCAAAACCTTTGCTTTGGCATCTTGAAGGATGAGCTGAATACGGTCCAGGGGATGAGTTGGGTCCAGGTTGATGACGGCACCGCCTGCTTTCATGACGGAGAGCTGTGTTGCCACAGCCCATATTGATTTCTGGAAAGACAGTGGAACTAAGACTTCTGGGCCTACTCCGTAGTCTCGAGCTAGCTTTCCGGCTAGTGCGGTTGATAGTTGATCCAATTCAGCGTATGTCAGTTTTCCATCCCAAGCATCGATTGCAAGTGAGTCGGGCCGAAGTTTGACTTGCTCTGCGAAGACTGCAGGGACAGTTGTCTCCAGAATCTCTGGGTATGTGTTGTTCCAATCGAGAATCTGGCTCATTTCATCGGTGGTGAGCATGGTGATGTCTTTCATCTTTGTCTCCTCCGAAGCTTGCTGGAAGCATGATACAATATGCTCAAAGTGACGGAGCATCCTCTCTACTCGACTCTGTAGGATGATAGCCTGATCAAATCGGGCTTCGACATGGATGTCGTTCTCATCAAGACTGCACTCCCAGACGAGCGGGTATGTGTCGAAACTTTTCAGGGGGAGAGCCACTTCTTCCGCACCAAGTAGCTCCTCTGGTTGGATGTCAAATCTCTGCGCCATGGGCTGAACGACGAAGAGGTTCTGGAACTGTACAGCTGCTGCAGTGTCTGCATTGATGTTGGCAATGTTCTGCAGACCGAAGTGCTCGAACGGCATCATGTCTGTTGCCTGGTCTTGCACTGCCTTCAAGAAGGCTCTGACAGTGGCTTCTCCTGTAGGAATACCCATTCGAATAGGCACTGTTGTGATCGTAGGTCCAATAATGTCTGTAATTCCGTCAACTGGGCAGCTGCGACCCGAAAGGGTGGTTCCAAACACGACGTCGTTGTCTTCACCAGCATCGGAGTACTGGGCGAGCACATATGCCCATGCTGCTCTCAGCAGTGTTGCTGTTGAAACATCGGCGTCTGATTGTGAATGAATTTCGATTCGTCGATTTGCTACTCCATCAACCCTGTCTTGGTGAGTATGAGTAGCCGCAGGGGGTTCTGGGTAGGCAATGGTTGGCTTTCCGCCTGACAGAGAGTTTGTCCAGTAGGTCTTGGCTTCATCGTGAGTGGTAGAAGTGATGTACTTGACGAAATTGTTGAAGCTAGGCGCGCTCTTCGGTGTGCTGTTTGTGTAGAAGGCACGGACTTGATCGAGGATCAGGGGTAGAGTCCAGCCGTCGTAGATGGAATGGTGTGCTGTCCAGACAAAGTGGCCATCTCCAGTGATACCATAGCGCGATAATGGCGATCCAAAGGTAAATCTTTCCTTTTCATCCTTTTCAAGGTAGTCTTGAAGGTTAGAAGCTGTACGCCACAAGCTTGTGGAGTTGGACTTGAGTACGACCTGCAGTGAGTTTGCGTTTCGGCCCTCAACGATTGCTGTACGCAAGAATGGGGTATTAGCAACCGTTACCTCCCAGGCGTCCTTGAAAATTGGCAGGTCAATCGTGGCCGGCAGCCGGAGGACCTTTCGTAGAATGTACGATCCAGGATTCAGGAGCGAAAGCGCCATGAGACCTTCTTGCAGTGGCGTGCATGGGTATGCATCCTCAACATCGTCAGGAGATACATTTGCTTCAGCTGCAATGGACTGTATAGTAGTGTTCTTGTCAAGAAGGCTGAATGGAGCAACTGTCTCGCTGCCACTCTTGCTGCTGGTCGACTTGCTGCTGAGCACAGCTGCCATGTCTGATAGAACGGGATTTCTGAAGATGTCCGCTACTGTAGCCACTCTCTTCGAAGAAAGTATCATTGCGGAGATTGAATCACCTCCCAGTTTGAAGAAGTTGTCATCTGCCCCAATGCGAGAGACTGGTACTTTCAATACCTCAGCCCAGGCGAGAGCGAGGGATTGCTCTGCTGCAGTGGTCAAAGGCTTCTTCGAGCTTTCTGCTTGTGAATACATGCGCAGGAGCTCCTCTTGTGGAAGGGTAGCTATCGCCTCGCGGAGAGCTCGTCGGTCAAGTTTTCCAGCAGTGGTCGTTGGCATCTTGCTGAGAGGAATGTATAGAGCCGGAACTTCATACGGTGGTAGTGCTTCCTCGAGAGCCCTCTTGAGCATCAAGATCTCGTCCTTTAAATGCTCGGACACGGGTAGGAGCAGGTCTTCACCCGGAGGCGACTTGTCGTTCTTGTCTAGACAGAAGAAAGCGGCGAGACAAGCTTTGTCTTGTAGACCACCTGGAAGTACAATGTCCACACAGACGCCACTTACGTCTGGTAGGTTCTTCAAAGTATGAGCCTCGATCTCAGCAAGCTCGATTCTCTGTCCACGTAGTTTCGTCTGCTGGTCAGCTCGGCCAAGGTAGACGATGGAGCCGTCAGCAGTGTAGCGAGCGCGATCGCCGGTATTGTATGCTCTCTCGTCTGGAAGAAAGCCGGGACTCTCCAGGAATACACTATCGGTTTTGGTCTGATCTCCTAGATAGCCATCTGCCAGTGCCGGCCCGGAAAGATGAAGCATGCCGACGGCTCCCAGGGGCGCAAGCTGACTAGAGTCGTCGGGATTTACGATCCAGGTTTGGGAAGCAACTCCTTTGCCTAGGACGTCGTTTCGGTCTGTCGTGCCTTCGAAAGTCTTCATTACTGCGAAAACGCCTAGGAAATCGAGTTAGTCCTGCTATACCGTTAAAGTTGAAATACTCACATGTCTCTGTTGGGCCATATCCGTTCATCAGTCGAAGCTTAGTTGCCCATGTCGCAATGTTGTCAGCTCCGAGCGCTTCACCTCCAAGTACTAAGGTCTTCATTGTTGGAATATCTTCAGGTTTGAGTATGCGCACAACTGACGGTGTCATGAAGGCGGTGTTGACTTGTTTCCTGTTGATAAAGCCGGCGATATCGCTCATCCTCTCATCCTCTGAAGGGACGCAAATGGTTCCGCCGTACATAAGAGTCGTGAAAATCTCCAAGATGCAAGCATCAAAGGTGAAGGCGGCGAACTGGTACATGCGTGTGGAGCTGTTACAACCCATGAGGGCACCGTGGTGGAAGGTACTGCTGTTTACTGCTCGGTGGCTCAGGACCACGCCCTTGGGCACACCACTGGTACCAGATGTGAAGAGGCAGTATGCAGAACACTCAGGTGTGATGGTAGGTAGGGCAACAGGAGCCGAAGCCATGTCCAAAAGGGTCCCGGAAGAAACCGTCAAGACGCTATCCGCCAGCGTCTGCATTCGCTTGGTGTTGATCTGCGATGCCAGGACTAACCGGAAATGTCCAAGCTGAGCCATGATAGTCTTCAGACGGTTATCTGGGTGGGCCATATCGAGAGGGACATAAGCAGCTCCAGCTTTCATGACACCCATCATAGGCACAATGGCCCAAATACTCTTTTCAAAGGCGATTGGAATGAAGTCGCCGACGGTTACTCCCTGTTGCATAATTTGGGCAGCCACCTGACTGCTCTTGAGATCTAGCTCGCCGTATGACATGGTACCCTCGAACGAGTCGATAGCAACAGCTTCAGGGGCGCGCTTTACCGACTCCTGGAAGATCATGGGCAGGCAGTTTTCAACCGCTGCAGGAATATCCGAGTTCCAAGAGGATATTTGTTTTCGGTCTTCGTCATCTGCCATCTTCAACTGTGCAACTGGCAGTTGCGGTCTATCCATGATGGAGGCGAGAACATTAGAAAGTGCGTTGCTGACACTCGCTGCCTGGGTATCGGACAAAATACTAGCAAAGTAGCTCATTTGCACGTGGATCTTGCCGGAGTCGTCGGAGATACTGACTGAGATTGGGTACTCCGTCGGATCCACACCGTCGATGTAGCGAAGTTGCAAGTCGCCAGCGAAAAAGTCTTGGTGGGGTCGCCTCTGGAAGCTGAGCACGGTATTGAACAGCTTTTGGCCAGAAGATAGGCCAAGTTCGTGCTGGATCTCGGCAAGGCTGACATGCTGGTATGGAAGAGACTGCAGGTATTCGTCCTGAAGTTTCTCCAAAGACAGTACTGCCGATTGCTGCGAGGTGATATCGAAGTCGATTGAGCAGACGAGCATGTTGATGAATGCTCCGACTGCTTCTTCGATCCCCGCCACTGGGACTTCTCGACCAGACGCCAAGTATCCGAAACAGACTTGATCGTCTCCTGTGAAGGCTCGAAGAACCTTTGCCCATGCCAGGCGGAAGATGCTTGCCAAAGTAACGTTGTGCTCTTGGCAGAAACTTCGTACCTGAGAGGCCTCAGGAACTTTGACCTCGATTTGGCGAAGAGGACGAGTTTCTTCAGGTTCGACATTCGACTCTGCGAGAGTGGGGAAGTGGCAGGCCCTGACATCTTTCAACTGGCTCTTCCAGAAGTCGACGGCTGCGTCTCGGGGCTGCGACTGAATGTAGCTAATATAGTCGCTGTAGAGAGGTCCAGGGCTAGCGTTAGATGGGTTCTGGTAAGCCTCCACCCAATCTGAGACAAGGATAGACATCGATGTACCGTCCACCAATGCATGGCTAATCTCCAGCTTGCAGAGAGTAAGGCTGTTCTTGGTGTCGTGCAAGATTGTAAGGCAATGCGGCGGCTGGTCAGGGCTTAATACCTGTGTTTGGGCATTCAAGAAGCTCACTGCATCTCCCTCGGGCGCGTTCAATAACTTGACCAAGGCAGAGTATTCTTTGAGTAGGAGTTGATCATGTGGACGGTCAGATAGGCCCTCCACAAAGACGGTCCTCAGCACCGCTTGTCGGTCAACTACCATCTGCCATGCCTTGACCAGTCTGGGTATATCGATTGGTGCACCGCGAACGGACGATATTTGCACTATCATTTCAATGTGGTATGCGCCATCCATCCGGTTCTGGGTGAGCAAGATGCCTTCTTGCATTGGGGAGCAGGCGTAGATATCCTCAATGTTGTCAAGAGAGAAAGAAACCTCGAAGAGCTTCTGGAGTCCTTGGAGACTGGCGTAGGTTATGTTCTGCAATAGAGGGAAGTCTCCTGGGGTCAGGATTCGTGGCGACTGCTCCAAGGCGCAAATCATGTCGGCAAGTGTTTGTTGATACAACTGTACCCAGCGTTCAATCTCATCAATATGCTTCATCTTGCGGTTGTAGGTGAGTGAAACATGAGCCTTCCCATCGAGAACATACGTGTTGATATCGATCAACGAGAACCGGTTAACCTGGGGACCAAAGTCACCTTCATTGAAGGGTATGATCTGAAGAAGACTGGTGTCTTTGCCGGGTGCTGTTTCCTGTTCTTGTCCTTGGTATACTCCGAGGTAGTTGAACAAGATCTCAATCGGCCAGTGCTTGGCGAATGCAGCCTTACCCTCTGGATTCGATATCGTTGAGTTGAAGTAAGACCATCCCTTGCGTGGTATGGATCGTCTCTGGTCCTTGAGTTGCTGAATAGTGCCAGTGAGATCGCTCTTGACAGGTGAGACATGTAGAGGATACATGGTAGTAAACCAGCCCACTGTTTCTGTGACATCAATGCGAGAGCTATCCCAGGACTCTCTTCCGTGTCCTTCGTTGAATATGGCTGGCGGTGTACGCGAGAACGCTTCCGCAAATGATGAAAAGGCGGCAGCCAGTAGGATGTCCAGAGCCTCGGTTTTCATGGATGTGTGGCTTCTCCGTAATAGCCCGTCAGTGCTATCAGCATCAAGTGTGAACTTGAACTCTGCAATATCGCCCCTGAGGTTTTGCTCCCCTTGCATACCCCAGTAGCTGAAATCGGCTGCTGGGACTTCGTGCAAGAGAGCGGATTGCGGAGTAAGATTTTGGTTGCTGTATTCTGCCTGGGCTTTGACCCAAGAGTGGAATGGGAACGGCTTGAGGGCGGGTAGCAGCGATCCCTTGACTGTCAGCAAGTCCTCCAGCTGCCGAATAATGATTCGCCAAGAAACCAGGTCAATGACCAGGTGGTGAGCAGTGAGGAACAGAAGCTGTTTGCTGGTGCTCTTGATGTTCAGCAGCACGGCAGCAAATACAGGTCCTGTCTCGATGCGGTGCTGTTCCTGCTGCTTCCGAGCAATTGAGCGGGCGTCTTCATCCGAGTCGATATCGTGGCTTGCGAAATGGAAGCTTCCTTCTGCCTGCTTTGGAATGGTTTGCATCCAACTTCCGTCATTTCCAAGAGAGTACCTGGCTCGCAGCAGTGGGTGGTATTCAACAATTTTCTGTAGAGAATTTGCCACTTCGTCTGCATCCATCTTGGCAGTCACAGCAAGCAAGAAACTCTGGTTGAACTGGTTCGCCTCCGGGTCGCGGGAGGACCTAGCAATTTCGGAAAAGTACAGCTTTTGAATAGGCGACAGCTCAAAGGGAACCCCAAAGAGTTCCTCCTGCTGTAGACTTTGGGCTTGATCCGACTTTTCAGCAGCCGCTGCGAGATCATGGAGATTCTTGGACTGCATGATGGCTTTAACCGTTAAGCGCAGACCCTCCTTTCGACACTGGACGACTGTGCCGATAGCTTGGATAGAGTCTCCTCCAAGATTCAAGAAGGACTTGTTCAGGTCAACCTGGTCTAGTGGCATGTTCAAGACGGTGGCCATAACACGCTGGATCAGCTTGACCTCTGGGCTGAGATTCTCCTTCTCCACGATGGCGCCTTGGTCTGCGGCTGCCGTGGCATCCAAAGCTTGCGTGTAGGTTTCGTTCGATAGCATCTCGACCCAACGAGCAATGGCTACACGATCGACTTTCTTTGATGGCGTCAAAGCCATTGACTCCACAATGAGCCATGACGTTGGTACCATGTATCCTGGCACGCGACTACGAAGCTGCTCCTTGACTTCTTCAATTTGCTCAGCTGCCGCTTTGGCATGCTCAGGAGAAATTGGACGCAGCTCCTCGGATTCCATAGTCTTCTCAGAGAATTTCTGGAGAGTAACGACTGCCGTAAGCTTTCTTTGACAAATACCTTTCTTTGGCACGAAGATGACCGCAAAGCGCACGAGTTCGTGGAAAGCCACATGGCGTTCAATCTCAGAGCATTCGATTCGTTGTCCGTTCAGCTTGACTTGTGCGTCTCGCCTACCAACAACCACGACGGTACCATCCTCGTTGTAGCGAACCAAGTCTCCGGTTCGGTACAGGCGAGTGTCGGGTTTGTCTTGCGCACGCCAGGGCGGTGGTGGAATGAAAGCTTCTGCAGTCTTTTCAAGATCGAGGTAGCCGCGGGAGACGATCGGTCCTTCGATCAGGAGCTCTCCCGTCGCTCCTATAGGTGCCAATTTGGTTACGTCAGTAGTGTCGGCGATCCAGAGAAGAGCACCATAGCCTCCATCTCCCTTGTTGATAGTAGCAGGGGGATTTCCAAGTCCAATGTCGGCCATACTAGTCCATACGGAGCACTCAGCTGGTCCAAAACTGTTGATTACCCGGGCATAGTCCTTCCAGGTACTGACAATGTCTTCTCGAACAAGTTCACCGCCCAAAGCTAGTGTCTTGAGACTGGGGATATCTGTGGGATTCAACAAACTTGCCATCGAGGGCGTGAAGAACGACCAGTTGACAGCGAGACGATTGATTGCTCCAGCAGTGTCATTCATCCGCTCGTCTTCGGAAGGAATGCAGACACATCCACCCAGCATCAATGGTGTCCAGATCTCTGAGTTAGAGGTGTCAAAAGTGTAGTTTGCGAATTGGAAGACACGAGAGCTATTTCCAATGCCCATCTCATTGTTATAGCCGACAACTGAACTGAAAGAGCTATGAGTGATCGTAATGGCTTTTGGGCGTCCAGTACTACCACTAGTGGTGCAGATGAAGGCGCCGTTCTCCGGCAAGGCTACCTCATCAGGGAGATCCGAGTGGTCCTGGATCTGGGATAATAGACTCTCTTCGACAACCATGAGGGACTTGAAGACAGCGTTGAGCTTCTCAGCATACTTTTGGGATCCAGTCAAAAGCAGGATCGGCTCGGCCTGTTCAATAATGTTCCGGTAATGCTGAGCCGGATGGGCAGGATCGATGGAGATATAGGTGCCTCCTGCCAGGAGAACTGCAAGCATTGATACGATAGCCCACTTGCTCTTATCAAAAGCGAGGAGTACCTTCTGCTCAGCTGTGACTCCATTGTTCCGTAGATGATGCGCAAGACGACCTGCAATGGAAATGAGCTCTTCATAAGAATAGGAGCCATCCCACGAAGCAATAGCCGGCGCACTAGGGTTCTGTGCTGCTTGACGAACAACTTGCGCATGGATGAGATCCTCAACCGCCGATGGAACCTCTCCATTCTTGTTTCTGCTCAGGATGGTGTGCTTGTCTTCCGGTGTAACAAAATTGAGGCTGGTGAGTGGTGCAGTGGGGTCTTTCAGCATGTCAGTCAGAACCTTTGAGAAGGTCTTCGCGATACGTGTGGCTTGCTGAGTTGTGTAGTACGACGACATGTAGCTGATGTTTGCCTCAACGACTGCTTCACTGGCGGTGATACTGACGCTGCAGTCGTATTCTGTCGGGTCGTAGGAGTGCACACATTCAATCTTGATCTCATTTCCATTGTCTTCTGTTGAGAGTGGCCGCTGGATCGATAGAACCGAGTTGAAAAGGCGTGAGCCTGCAGAGGCGTCCATAAGGCTGTGTTGGATCTGGCCCAACGGAGCATGCTGGTGAGGTAAGGCGTCCAGATAGTCACTCTGTGCCTTCTGAATTGTCGTCAGTATGCTGTCTTTGTTCGAAGACTTTGCATTGATACGGCAAATCAGCATGTTAATGTAAGGGCCCATGGCGTTCTCCAAACCGTCGAGCGAGATGTCACGACCAGACGCAAGGAAGCCAAAAACGACATCGGGGTTGCTGCTGTACGCCCGGACGACAATGGCCCACGCAGTTTGCAAAATACTGGCCAAGGTGACTGAATTAGCCTTCGAAAATGCGTGAAGCTTTCCGACAGCCTCAGAAGGAAAGGCGACCTTGACCGTCTCCAAAGTTGGTTGGATGGGTGCACTCTGATCAAGCAGGAGCTTGGGCATAATGCAAGGCTCAACACCCTCGCAGTATTGGCTCCAATACGCTAGGGAGATCTCCAGCTGTGTCTGCTGACTCTCAAGCAGCATTGAGATGTAGTTGCGGTAAAGCGGTGCAGGAGCCAGACTTTGGTGTTGATAGGCTGAGACGAGATCCCTGAGAATGATGGCCATCGAAGCACCATCAATCAATGTGTGACTGATCTCGAGATTGAAGTATACCTTGCCGTCTGTGGCACTCTCATAGACTGTGAATCTGTGGGGTGGAAGGCCGTCTTCATAATCGATAGGGTTGGTCCAGGGTTGGTCCAGAAGTGTCTGATAGTCGCTGACTTGAGCCTTCCTCACGCTGAATCGCTTCAATACAGCCTGAGTGAAGAGAGAGCTAACAGAATCAATTTCTGCGTTGCTTGTTTCGAAGAAGACGGTCCGGAGGATGGCATGCCTGTCGACGACTTGTTGCCATGCTGCCTGCAGTGCCTCGACTGATACTTTGACGCCTGATTTAAGTGCCGTTGTCTCACAGACTGCGAAGAACTTGTAGTTACCACTTGCATGCGCCTGGGCAATGAGAAGGCCTTGCTGCATAGGGCTAGCGGGGTAAGCGTCTTCCAAGTCGTCTGATCCAGAGTAGCCAATTTTCTTAACGTCCTGGTCGAGGGCCTCCAATGTCGCGTTCGCAAGCAAAGCAAATGGCTCATCACTACCAATTTGTCGGATAGGCGTAGTTGACATTGGACGTGCTTTCTTTGCAAGGTCTCTCAGCGACTTGCTCAGAAGAACGTCTTTGACGGTGACAGACAACCCGTTTGTCCGACATTTTGCTACGGCCTGCATAGCCTGAATGGAATCACCGGCCATCCCTACAAAGCTCCGGTCCATGGAGATCTTTGACTCCGGCTGTCCAAGGACTGCGGCCACAATACCTTGTACAGTGGTTTCTATCGACGTCAAAGGAACTGAAATCTCGATCTCCTCTTCAGCGGCAGCATTTGATACGCCTGAAACAGCGGTCATCTCTTGAACATATTGCAGCACACGAACACGGTCCGTCTTCTCGTTCCGGGACAGCGGCAGTATGTCAAAGCAGAGCCATACCGAAGGCATCATGTATCCTGGGACGCGCTGACCCAAGTATGCTCTGCCCTGTGAAATCTTCTTCGCTGCTACTGAGTTACGTGAAGGATCGATGAGCTGAATTGTCTTCGTGTCTTCTGTGGCCTTGGATGATTCGCGAAGTGCAATTACTGTTACTAGTCGCTCTTTGAGTGGTCCACTTCGAGGGTACAACACAACCGCATTGGCGATGCTGTCGCAGCGGAGGATGTTATACTCGACTTCCGCCATCTCTATACGCTGCCCATGAAGTTTGATTTGCATGTCCTTTCGACCGACAATGTTGAGAGTGCCATCAGAGTTGTATCTGCAGAAATCACCACTGCGGTACAGTTTCTCTTCATCAGAAATCTGCATACCGGCCTCAAGCATCCATCGAGGCGGCGGGATGAAAGCGGCGTTTGTCTTTTCAAGGTCGTTCAGATATCCACGGGCGACAATAGGTCCTTGTATGAGGAGTTCTCCGACTTCGCCGACATGGCACAGTCGGTCCGGGTTGCTAGCGTCTGCGATCCACATACGTGCTCCAATGCCAAAACCGACATTTCCAGGGGCAGTGGTGAGGGTGACAGGAGACAATCCAGTAGAGTATACACTGGTTTCTGCTGGCCCATAGAGGTTAATGAGGTGCACTTTGTCAGCCCAGGCCGCAACGTTCTCCGCCCTGACGGCCTCGCCTCCCAAGACGAGGACTTCAAGGTTTGGAACATCTGTTGGTTCCAAGAGACTAGCTACTGACGGTGTCAAGTAAGCAATGTTGATGTTCATCCGGTTGATGACTCCAGCAAGATCGTCCAGGCGATCCTCCTCGGCAGGGATGCAGACTGTTGCTCCCATCTGAAGACCTGAAAATGTCTCGCCGATACTGACGTCAAAGGTATACGAAGCAAACTGAAGAATTCGTGCGCCAGGTTGATTGTACATCATGACGGGGCCATGTGCTGCACTGCTGCTCGCCAACGCGTGATGCTCGAGCACAATTCCTTTTGGTTTGCCGGTTGAGCCACTCGTGAACACAACAAAGCAGGGATTGGCTGGCGTTGGCTTTATCCAGGTTTTCGGTAAAGTGGATTGTCTTTCCACCAACTCATCCAGGAGTGACTTGCTGATTGCCAAAGCCTTTCCAACCAATTTTTCAAAGAGGTGGACGTACTCAGGAGAGGTGAGCGCCATCTTGGCATCGCACTGTCGGAGCAACTCGTCCCTGCGCTTCTCAGGGTGTGTGGGATCCATTGACACACAAGCTCCTCCTGCTTTCAGAACCGCTATCTGGGCTACGGGAACCCAGACAGACTTCTTAAAGCAAAGCGGAACTAAAGTCTCCGGACCAACACCCAACTCGCTAAGATGAGCTGCAAGCAGAGAGCTGATTGAATCGAGTTCAGCATAAGTCAGATGGCCATCATGCGCGTCGATGGCTAGGGCATTTGGCTTTCGTCTTGCTTGCTCAGAGATAACACCGTGGATGCATTGCCGGTGATCTTCCCATATCTTCTCGTTCCACGAGAGGATCTGCTGTTTGTCGTTTTCGCTGAGGAGGTCGACCTCATTGAGCCGCTTCGTGTGATCTTGGATGATGATCCTGATCATATTCTGGAAAGTTTCCAGGATATTGCTCGCCATCTTGTCATTTACCTTTGATGTGTAATGGCGGAAGCTCAGGCGGACATCTTCTCGAGCAACAGCAATGTTGACCGAGATGTCGTACTCTGTCAAATCAACTTCATCCACAATCTCGAAAGCTATGCTATCATCGCTCGTTTGGATCACCTCTCCCAAGGCGCTTTGTAGGGATAGGACGGTGTTAAAGAGCGGACCACGAAGCTGAAGCTCATGCTGAATCTCGGCTAAGGAGCAGAGCTGATGAGGCATTGACTTGAGGAAGGACTGTTGTACAGACTCCGCGAGGTGGAGCAGGCTGCTGGATGCAAGCTCACCCAAGTCCAATCTACATACCAACATGTTGATGTATGCGCCGACAGCATCGTCAATGTCCTGGACTGGGAGATCTCGTCCAGCGGAGAGGTAGCCGAAGCAAACGTCTTCAGCGCCACTATAAGCTCGCAGGGTCATGGCCCACGCTAAATGCAGCAGGCTGGCAGGTGTGATGTTGTGCGTCCTACAGAAGACGTGGAGTCTGAGGCTTTGATCGATTGATGCCGTGAGCTCATGCAACTCATCCGATGCGTGAGAGTCGTCATTGAGGACTGGAAAGTAGCAAGAGGAGACATCTTGTAGATACTGCTTCCAGAAATTCATGCTGGCAGACTTGTCTTGTTGTTGGATATAGCCGACGTAGTGCGAGAATTTGGTTGTGCGGGTAAGGTCCAAATGGCCGGCGTACGCAGCACTGAGATCGCGGAACATGAGCAGCACAGATACACCGTCGATCAGCGCATGGTCGACAGCAGCCATGCAGTAAAGATACTGTTTGGTTGCATATACGACGAAATCAACTCTTGGTCTCTGACCTTTGTCGGTATTGGCGATGCTGTACTGATGAACAGCCTGACGAACTTCGGTCTCGTCACTGCATGAAACGATGCTAATTTGTGGATCAACATTTTTCAATACGAGCTGGTCGCAGGGTGAGTCGTCTGCAAGGCTGGGAGTGAAAATAGTTCTCAATGATGCGTGTCGGTTCGAGACTTTCGTCCAGGCGTCCTTGAGGCGGTTGATATCGATGCTCTCTCGCCCATGAAAAAGGGTAGCTCGACACAGGATCCGAAGTTCGTAACTAGCTGATTCTCGTTGTTGGCTCAGCAGGATGCCTTTCTGCATCACACCCAGAGGGTAGGCTTCCTCGATGTCTTCTGCCTCCACGGGAAGGCCTGGCAAAATATCGGACTCAAATCTTGCCAGATCGTACGAGACAGGGTATGTCTTGACAGTGGTGACTTCATCACCAGTCTGGGCCCTCTCAGCCAGCTCTGATAGTGATTTCGCTTCCAGTATATCTTTGATTGACACGGCAATGCCTGCAGCTCTTAATTTCGAAACGAGCTGCATACCCAGAATACTATCAAGACCGTTGTGTATGAATGAGCGGTTGAGACGAATGCTGGATGTGGGTACGTTGAGGATCTCGCTACAGATCTGCTGGAGCTTCTCCTCAATCGGGTTGGCAGGAAGTACGGCGGTCTCGGAATCGTCTCCAGTGGCTATGTGGTAGGTTTCGTCGTTCATGCCGTTGATGAACTGGGTGACGGCCGAACGGTTAAGCTTTCCGGATATTGACAGAGGGACGGAGCTGGCGACGAGCCATAGCGAAGGGACCATGTAGGCTGGCAGGTGGTCAGAGACAGCTTGTTTGATCTGGTCGACATCGTCGAGGTAGCCGTGAAGAAGCTGTAATTCTTTGTCTGACTCCGGCTCCGGCGCTGTGTTCAGTGATAGTATAACTGTCAACTGGCCCTTGCACGGGCCCTGGCGTGGCAGCAACACAGCTGCTCGCCTGACGGCCTCATGCTTAGCGATATGGTGCTCGATCTCACCAAGCTCTATTCTCAACCCGCGCAGCTTGACTTGCGAATCTTGGCCTTTTCTACCCAAGAAATGGATGCTGCCATCGCTGTTGAAGCGGGCAAGGTCGCCAGATTTGTACATTCGCCTGGCTGCGCCAGACTCGGTCCTGGGTAGCCATGGGAATTCGTCTTCGATGAAAGCGGCATTTGTTTTCTCTGCGTCCTTGTAGTAGCCGCGGGCGACAATGGGCCCATGAACAAGGAGCTCTCCTGGACATCCAGGCGGAACTAACCGGCGATGGTCTTCGGGATCTACAATCCATATTAGCGCACCAAGAGGGAATCCAATATTACTCGGGTCTGTATCGCGAGATAGGCTTGGCAGTCCTGTTGCGGCTACACTGCACTCCGTTGGTCCGTAGCCATTTGCAAGTTGGACATGTGTGGGTGCCCAGGTCTCGACGTCACTCTTTCCAAGCGCTTCGCCACCAAGAACCAGGAAGCGCAGGGTCGGGACCATGTCAGGGGTCATGAGCTTCACCAAAGACGGGGTCAAGAATGCCCAAGTCACGCCAAACTCTTGGATACAATGAGCTGGTCCCCGTGAACGCGATGCGTCTCCTGGGATGCAGACACACGCACCGGTTATGAGTGAAGTCATGATTTCAAGCAAGCTGACATCGAAGGAGAAGCTTGCCAACTGCAAGACACGGTCCGTATCCCGCATTCCACTGGCCTTTCGTTGTGCGAACGAACCAGTAAGGAACTGGCGATGCTCAACGCAGCAGCCCTTGGGTTTGCCGGTGGAGCTAAAGCAATGGTTAGTTGATCACCCTGGCAAACGGCTACTCCAATTACTTACCCTGAAGTGTAAATAATGTACAAGGAATTATCTGGCCTCACAGTGGAGGCCAGTAGTGAGCTTTCTGGAAGGCTATCCATCAAATTAGGGTCCACCGCGAGGACGTCTGCACCTGTCCAGGCCCACATATCGGCGTATTGTGGCGCTGTCAGCATGATTCTGGCCTGTACTTGACTTTGAATCTCTTCAAGTCGACCCACTGGGTGGGAAACATCAAAGAAAAGCATAGTTGCGCCTGCTCTGACCACCGCCATCATCGCCACAACAGCCCATGCGGACTTTGGAAAACACAGCAGTACAACGTCTTCGGGACCGACAGACTTTGCTTGCAGTGCTAGTGCTAGCTTCCGCGATGCGCTTTCAAGTTCTGCATATGTGAAACTTGCGTCGCTGGCGTGGATGGCCATATTTGTTGAGGTGTGGCTGGCTTGCTCCTCAAAGAGCTCGCCAACACATCGATCGACCGAGGCGGGTGCCACGGTATTCCACTCGAAAAGCTTCCTGGAGCTGTTTGGATGGAGGGTTTGGATCTCAGAATAGAGAGTCGTGGGTTTTGTAATGACTTCGCTGAGAGCCTGCTGGAATGTGTTGACAACATCTGCAGCTTCGTCTTCTCCCATATATGCTCGTGAGTAGGTGAGCTTCGCCTCAGCAGCGTCATTGGATTCGAGAAAATTTAGATGAACAGCCATGTCGTCATCTTCTGGTGTGATGGTGGTATCGAAGCTTACTGCCGTATTGCAGAAGGCTTCGCCGTCCAATGACTGAAATGAAGGGTTGTTGTTGAGACCCGAGAATGTGAAGTTTTCACTTTGGGCCAGGTCCTTTCTCAGCACATTTCGCACTGTCATGACGGTTGTGTCTCGGTCAACCGTTGCCGAACATAACCTCGATCGGCCTGACTGGGTGGTCAATCCGAAAGATACGGAATCATTCCCTGTGAACAGCTGCAACACGACGCTCCATGCTGTCAATATGTCCAGTTGAGTCTCTTCACTGGATACGTTTTTATTGTGTCTCTCCAGGATTTCGAGATCAACATTTCGCTCCGAGCGATCAGATGATGCAACATTGTTCTCGATCAAGGAAGGGAAGTAACACGGTGCGGCTTCCTCTTTCCATTGCGTCCAGAAATTCCGGGTTTCTGGCTCGCGGCCAACTTCAACTTGGTGAACCATGGTGTGTGTATGGTAAATGGTGAGTGGTATGAATTAAGTGGGGATGATGGGTGGAAGCTGGGATGGATGATGTCTCAATTCTCACGTATATCAGCGTAGTAACATGTATTATGGACAAACCATGTCCTCGACTTGCCATAAATGACCTTGTCACGTGCCATAATCGCTCTCCACTCCTCTCGCCCCCAAGCGATTAGGCTGTTTCTGAGCTGAAGTTAGAAACACCTCTAACGAGGTCCTAGTGCATGGCGAAGGAGTGGCTGCAGGTTAACGGCCCCCAAGCCCCTGCAACGCCTCAAAGCTGCGGCTGACTTGTGAAAGCTCCCTAATGCAACGAGCAGGATGAGTAATGGCAATGTAATATCCGTCTGACGCTTCAGATGGGAATAGTTTGAAAAGCCCCTGCTAGCTCACTGAATCAAGCTTTTTCCCTGATTATAATGTGCCGCTATGGCTGCATGGAGGATGTGCGTGTGTGGATCCGCGGATTAGGCCGCCCGCGGGTCAGGCCGCCCTCTTGTCAGACCTATTTAGGGATTTCGCCTACCGAAGCATCGAAAATGTTCTTTCACTAAGTATGCATGCATGTAATCGATCATGGATCCACCGAGGGCCAGACACGTTCTATTCGGGCTATGACCGGGCAGCATTAGCAGTAGCTGCGCAAAACGCCTCGTATTGCGTGTGGCGTCGGTTTGGACAACCGCACCAACGGGAGACAAGAGCTTCCCCAAATAGCAGATTTCTTCCGCGAATCATGATTGGAAGAGGGGTGTAATTTTGCAAAAAAACAAGATTTCGGGACAACGGAGAGATGGAAATGTTAGTCTCATTATATTGCAGTTCTATGAGTGCGGCGCTAAAGCAGCAGGCTACACAACACAGTAGAGTACACAGTGAAGCGAAGCAGTAAAGACAACAACAATCTAATTTCATATATACAGCTATTTTTACACACAATCACATCTTCTCCATAGCGGACAGGCTGATTGAACGATGCGGAAGAGCTGGTCGCAGTTCGGCAATATTTTTGAACACCGGCACTCCTTTCAGCATGTCACGTGGCTGGAAACGAAGATACGGACCACTAAGACTGGTAAGTAATTGTTGGCAAATACAGGGTTTATGACTTACTCTTTGGAGGCGGTGATGTGGTCTCTCAGCTTGAACTCGTCCTCAATGCCCCATCGTTTGTCGGTGGCTTGTTGCTTCTCAGGTGCAAACTCAAAGTCTAGGGTGTAGACAGCGTATGCAACTGCAAGGGTCAATTCTACCATGGCCATGTGCTTGCCGACGCAGCTTCGAGTGCCAACGGAGAAGGGGCAGTATGCGGATCTTGCCGCTTCAACGCTCTTCTTTGGGGTGCCCTCGCTCTCCAGCCAGCGTTCTGGGCGGAATTCGAAAGGAGAGGGGTAGTATTCCGGATTGTGCTGAATGGCGTAGATTGGCACACCAAGCTCCACTCCAGGTGGGAACCATTTCCCGTTGACAGTGGCACCGTCTTGCATGACTTCCCTGAACAGTGATGCCCCCGTAGGTGGAGACATTCGCAGGGCTTCTTCAATGCAGGCCCTCACGAACACAAGCTTACTCAACTTCGGACCGATACGGATCTCATCTGCTGAGTCAAACAACGATCTAACTTCATCTTGGGCCCGTCGATAAGCTTGAGGTGAGTTTGCTAGGTAGAAGAAGGTTGCAGACATGGCAGTCGACGATGTATCTGAGCCGGCAACGACCAAAGTAGTACTTTCCGCAAGCACCTCTTTAGTAGTCAGCTGCTGACCCGTAACAGAGTCGTGAGCTCTCCTCAACATGGACACAACTGTAGTTGTGGCCTTAGGGTTAGGGTTGCAATCCGGCTTCATGACTCTGTCAACCAGTCCTCGAACGAAGATCAGAAACTGGTCACGAGCCTGAATTGCCTTGGGAAACAGCCAGCGGTCAATGCGAGCGATTCTAGGAATCACTGGGCTCTGCAAAAGCACGCTGACGCGAATATTGGATCTGCAACGATGGTTAGCATAACGTCCTTTACGTCAATCATGGGTTCTGACTAACTGTTCGATCGCATCAGGTATGGCACGGTTAGCTGTGGACCCCAGCAGATTGTACTGCATGCCGAAGACCACGTCGCCCATAATGTCAAACGACATGTAGTTGAACCAGGATGCCACGTTTTTCGGCTTATCCGTCGCTGACAGTAGCGCAAAGCACTTCTGAATGTGGGACAGCAGTGTTGGTTCGTGGAAGCGGACAGCTGCATCCGAAAGGCCCTGTGAAACAATTCGGCGGCGACGAGCATGCTCCTCCTTGTTGATCATGGTCAAGGTATTAGCAGCTCCGTGCCTTAAAACTCGGTAGTTGGGACTGCGGACATGTGGAGTCAGTGCGGCTCAAATGAAGAGGAGTTATTTTCTCACCTCTTCTGGAAGTTCTTTGCACCAGTCGTGTAAATTTCCTTCAGAGCTTCGGCATTGTTGAAGTTGAGTCTGTTCGGAGAGTAACGCACAATGGGCCCTTTGCTTTGATTAGTTTGATTTTGCTAATCACTTCAGAGGAAAGCATACCGTATCGTTCATGTTGTCGCAACATGTCGATGTGGATATCGCCTTTCCACGCATGATACGCAGCATAGAGATCCGTGATTTTGGCAAAAAAGGGACCAGGGTACTTGGAGAGTGGGTGCCAGTACAGGCGTCGAATGCAAAATACGATGAGCTGTTCCCTGTCAATACGATCCCAGTGACGCGGTACTGGGAAAAGGTAATTTATTCAACGTACTGAAGCCAATCCGAACAGCGTGCAAAGAAGCACGGTACGTAGGAGAATGTACATCAAAGACATGTCTGTTTGGTGAATGCAGGTACAATGAATCTGAGAAGAAGATCACAAACTCTGATCTGGGGGACTTGTAGGCTCTCAGAAATCATTTGAACGTGGTCTGTGCCAAGGCGGTAGGTTTTAGGCGTGCCTGCAAAGTTAGCAACCTTGGTCAATATCCGTTTTTGCCTGAGACGTGTGCCGTTCACTCACCCCATGTAAGCGCAAGTGAGTAAGCTGAATGACTGCATGGGCTGCGGCGTGCATGGGTATCCACGTGCATGTGCACAGACACTCGTACGTAAAAAGGTACAGATGCGGCTCTTTCTCCATGATCCTTCACCCGCCTTGAAAATCAATAAAAATTGAAAAGTAAAACCATGCAGTGGCGTGCGAGTGTGGCTTCAGCCCCTACCCACGGATGTCCAACGCCAGTTGGCTCAGCCCCCGCCTGCCGCATGCAGCTAGGGGCTCACTGTCAAGGATGAAGGAGCCATATCATGGCTGTTCAGTCGTCAGCAAAAATAAACTAGGCCCCCGCTAGTAGATGCTACTCTAATGGTGTTGCTGCCTGCATCGGAGAAGCCGCATTCACTAGCGACTGTATTAGGACACCAAAGCCACCTTGCTCGGCGTTCTGACTCTTCTCAAATTGTTCGACTCCGTCAGCGTGTGACTATTGTTGGCCTCTACTGCACGGACGGGGGCTACCCTCATCGGAGCTGAGACTATTCTAGATCGTCAAAAATATAACAGATGCAATAATGTGGAGTGCTGACTAGGATGCTCATGTCTGACCCGATCCAGAGCTACGGGATAGCATTTTTGGTATCAATTGTTCGGCGGCTAATGGCACTGTTTGCATGTGCATGCGCTTAACGTTTGACTTTATGCTTTGCAATCCAAGTTACCGGGACATACGCAGACTAGACTTGTTGACATCAAATCCACTGCTCACAAGCTTGCAACACACCAAATTTTCAACATGGCAAACATTCACAGAAACGACGACGATATCGCCAGGACGGTGCTCATTGAGCTCCTGGCCTATCAATTCTGCTTCCCAGTGCAATGGATCGAAACACAGGACCTCATACTGGGCTCCCAAGGCACAGAGCGCCTCATCGAAATTGGTCCCACGACCACACTGGCGAATATGGCCAAACGGACAGTGGACCTCAAGTACGCTCACCGGGATATGGCCCAAAACACACAACGGCAGTTCTTGAATTTCCAGCAGAACATCGATGCCATCTCATACCATCAACATGTTCCGACACCAGATGTCGTTCCAGAGCAACCCGCAAGCATTGTTCCTCCAGTAGCGGAACGCAAAGACACACCTAGCAACATCACGGCAAGCTCCCCACAGGTTTTGCAGGTGCCGATCGAACCACTGCAAGATACACCAGTCAGTCCCGTCGAAATCGTCTCCACAGTCGTAGCAGCTGCGTTGAAGAAGCCGATGGACGCCCTCGACATGAACAAATCGATCAAAGCATTGGCTGGCGGTCGCTCTACGCTTCAGAACGAAATCATCGGGGATCTCGCCACCGAATTTGATGCTATTCCTGAGGGTGCTGAGGACCTCCCACTTGAGAGGCTATGCACAGCAGTGCAAAGCAACTTTGGAGGAAAGTTGGGAAAGAAGTCTTCATCGATGGTGGAGAGAATGGTCAGCCAGAAGCTGCCAAGCACTTTCCAAACCGCAACTATCCGCAAGCACTTAAAGGAGAGATGGGGTCTGGGGCCAGGACGACAAGATAGTGTTCTGCTCTGGGGCGTTACTTCTCAACCTGGATTCCGACTCAAGGATGATGGCGAGGCCAACATGTTCTTGGACGGTCTCGTGAAGCTGTACGCGAAAAAGCATAGCCTCAGTCTACCAGACACCAACTCACTCTCAGTCACAGTCTCAGTTGCAGAGACAAAGGTTAGCTCTGAGACTGTAGCACTCCTGGAGAATAAGCAAAAGTCGGCATGGCTGGAGCAGCTACAAGTCTACTCAAATCTTCTTGGACTGGACATGCACATATCGGAAGCCACCATTGATGCACTAAAGAAACGGGTATCCGACTTGGAAACCGAGTTGGATGCTTGGGCTGATGAACATGGCGAATTTTACGCGTCGGGGATCCAGCCAATGTTCAAGCCACTCAAAGCGCGAACATACGACTCATGGTGGAACTGGGCGATGCAGGATCTCTTGACTTTTGTGTCTCTTGCAGCGACACTAGAGGCGAGCGAGACTCAGCTTGACCAGCTGGAAGCGATGATCGTCAGCCGGGCGAATAACCGTCTAATATCCACTCTCAGCTATCTGGTCTCGGCCACATCCAACAATTCGCTTGCAAGCCGATTGTCAACTCTCCTAGCAGAATGCCAGGGTGCACAAGATCTACACTCAACCGTCTGCCACCCTGGCCCCGCTTTGGCTCCGTTTACGAAGATTGAGGACGATGGCAAGATCATCGTATCTGAGAAGCCCAGGTCTGGCAACCCACACGCTGATGACCAGTTGCTTAGACTGGGGCGAAAAGGCATTGCTGGCTGGCAATTCGATGAGGAGCTCTCCTGTGTGCTCCACGATACACTCGAGAATACAAATGCGACTGGAATTACTTTCACTGGAACAACAGTACTTGTCACCGGCGCGGGCGAAGGTTCAATCGGTTGCCAGATTGTTGCTCAGCTTCTCAATGCCGGTGCAGTCGTTCTTGTGACTAGTAGCTCATACTCCCCGAAGACGACACGTTTCTATCAAACGCTCTATGCCAAACACGGTGGGAAGGGATCAAAGCTGATTCTGCTCCCATTCAATCAAGCCAGTGTCCGCGACGTTGACGCCATTGTGGAATACATTTACAGCAAAGACGGCCTGACTATGGACCTTGACTATGTGGTACCATTTGCTGCCATCTCAGAGAATGGCCGGACGATCAGCAATATCGACAGTAGATCTGAGCTAGCTCACCGCGTTATGCTCACGAATACACTGCGTCTCCTTGGGAACGTGAAGCAGCAGAAGACAAGTCGCGGTATAGTAACGAGGCCCGCCCAAGTCATCCTTCCGCTTTCACCCAACCACGGCTCTTTCGGAAGTGACGGCCTCTACGCTGAGTCGAAGCTTGGTCTGGAAGCGCTTTTTGAAAAGTTCCATTCCGAAGACTGGGCAGACTATTTGCTTGTTTGCGGCGCTATTATTGGCTGGACTCGCGGTACTTCACTCATGTCAGAAAATGATATGGTTGCTGAAGGCATCGAAAAGCTTGGTGTTCGGACATATTCGCAGAAAGAGATGGCATTCAACATTGTATGTCTGATGAGTGAACAAGTCAAGTCACTCTGCATTGATAGCCCGCTGGTCGCCGACCTGAGCGGAGGCATGGGAGAGATTGCGGATCTCCAACGAGCCACTACAGATATCCGAGCTTCGATTTCTCAGCAGAGTGAGGAGCGTCGCGCTCTAGCTCTCGAGTCGTCCTTTGAATCATCGGAGGACAGTGCTGGGACCGATCAGGGATCACTGGCAAACATCCAGTTCGCCTTCCCAGAGCTTCCTAACTGGGGTCAGGAAGTTCTGCCCCTCGCCGGACAGCTAAAGGGCATGGTGGATCTGGATCGTGTTGTCGTTGTTGTCGGCTACTCTGAAGTCGGTCCATGCGGTAACTCTCGCACAAGATGGAGCATGGAACTCAACGGCCCGGTCCTTTCGACCGAATGCTGTATTGAGCTAGCCTGGTCAATGGGTCTCATCAAAAGCCACCAGGGTGTCATGAATGGTGAACCGTTCTCAGGCTGGGTGGAGAAGGACACGGGCAAGCCCATCGCAGACACTGATATACCCATGAAGTTTGGGAAATTCATCAGCGAGCACATTGGCATTCGCTTTGCCGAAGCAAAGCGTGGCGCTCCAATCTGGAAGGGACACGAAGTCTTGCATGAGATTGAGGTAACAAAAGACCATGACCCCATCGAAGTTAGCAAGGACGTTGCCGCACAGCTCAAGCAAGCACACGGAGAGAGCGTGCATATAACCTCCGACGATGCGACGGGCCAGACAAAGGTCGTCTTACGGAAAGGTGCCAAAATCAGGGTACCCAAGTTGCTGGACGGAAGCCACACGGTCGCTGGCCAGATCCCAACAGGCTGGAATGCTAGGACGTACGGAGTGCCACAAGATGTCATTGACCAAATTGACCCAGTCACCCTTTATGCTCTTGTCGCCACCGCAGAGTCATTCCAGTCAGCCGGTATCCTCGACCCTTTCGAGCTCTACAACAACCTTCATGTAAGCGATGTCGCAACATGCGTTGGTTCAGGGTTTGGTGGCGCAACCAGTTTGCGTGAGGTCTTCCAGGAACGCTTTCGTGATATGGACCCTGCCAACGATGCTCTTGCGGAATGCTTCATCAACTCTAGCAGCGCCTGGATAAACATGCTACTCCTATCCGCGGCCGGTCCCAATCGGACACCTGTCGGCGCATGTGCCACGGCGGTTGAATCACTCGATACAGCTTGCGATCTCATTCAGACCGGAAAAGCAAAGTTCTGCGTCGTCGGTGGCTGTGACGATCTTCTCAAAGAGACATCGACTGAGTTCGCCAACATGAAAGCCACAATCGATCCTGATCAAGACGCCCTGAACGGCCGCGATCCCACAGAAATGAGTCGCCCGACGACTTCGACCCGCAAGGGGTTTGTAGAGTCTGAAGGCGCGGGCATCCAGCTTGTCACAAATGCAACTGTCGCTTTGGACATGGGCCTTCCGATTCAATGTATCATCGCATTGTCGTCCACTGCAATGGACAAAGCAGGTCGCTCCCTACCTGCCCCTGGACGCGGCATTCTCGGTGCGGCCAGGCAGAGTACTGCCAAGTTTGATTCACCCTTGATGAACATGAACTACCGCCGAAGAGCTTTACAAGCACGAATGCAACAAGTCGAGGACATGCGTGATCTTCAGTTGTCCTATTTGGACGAAGAGCTTGCGCAGCTCATAAACGACTCTACTACCGACTTCTCCATCGACAAGTACCGCGCGCAACGCCTCACGGATATCGAGAATGACGTTATCCGAGACCAGAAAGAGGCCCTTGACTTGTACGGGAATCGTTTCTGGACGCATGACCCGCGTATTGCTCCTATCCGCGGCGGACTTGCCGTCTGGGGCCTGTCAATCGATGACATTGACATGGTATCTTTCCACGGCACGTCAACAAAAGCAAACGAGAAGAATGAAGCAGCTGTCGTCAGCGAGCAGTTCAAGCACCTAGGTCGAACGAAGGGAAACGTTGTTCCTGTCGTTTGCCAAAAAGCCCTTACCGGCCACCCCAAGGCAGCTGCAGGGGCTTGGATGCTGAATGGATGTATGCAGGCCATGCACGACAAGAAGATACCCGGAAATCGGAATGCCGATAACATTGACGCCGAACTTCAGAAGTACGAGTATCTTGTGTTTCCCAACAAGACTCTCGAGAGGAGTGAGGACATGAAGGCTTTCTTACTCAACTCGTTTGGCTTCGGTCAGAAAGGAGCTATGGCAATTGGCGTCAATCCAAAATATCTATTTGCTACGCTGGAGCAGGAGGACTACGAGTTGTATGCGAGCAAGCGACGGATTCGAGAACAAAAAGCTGTTCGACGATTCCATGAGTCTATGCACTGCAACACTGTGTTTCGGGCAAAGAAGAATGCGCCTTATGCTCAGGAGGACGAGACTGCTGTTTTGCTAAACCCGGGAGTGAGGTTTGGGGCGTAAAAGGTCCTTTCTGATAAATTTACACACTTGTAATCAATTCCTTTTTTTCTTTAACACAATACTATCTATTCATCCATTATTCCTGGGCGCATAATTCACAGTGTGGATGTTCATGCAAGACTAGATCGCACGTGACCGTATCTCACGTGATTGAACTGCACGTGACCCATCTGGTGATTTATGGTTAGGATGCTGATTTCAATAAAATCGCTTCTTTCCAAATATGGTACACATCACTGGTCAAAAATAGGGTTTCTAAACCGAGAAGTAGATTCCTAAACAACAGGCAGCACCATCCGCGCACGTTCTCATAAGCCGGGATTACGTTGCCGTTTGCCGCTCAGAAACATACCACACCACACCAAAACACCGGGACGCCACGTTGTGACCCATGTATTCGTGAGCGGTGGTACCGAAGTTGGCTATTTTCCATTACATGGGGCTGATTACGCCATTGTTGGATCTCGATGCTCGACATGTCACACAGCCTCCAGTAAGCTTACTGCGATATGTGAGTACATATCGGTACTCGACCAAGCTCTTGGGCCAAAAACTGCAGAGAAGATACAGTCACCTTTCTATAATAGTTTTAGTGATGACTATACTAAAACTGCGCCTGGGCACTTTATCGGCTCTAACTTGCTACTTTTTTTTCAGCTGCCGCCCAAGCCCCGTCCACTATGCACCTATTAGGCAGCTAGGATATATTAGGCCCTACATTGTTCAAATGAAGAACTATCTGCGAGGTCATACCTTGAACACTTGGATGTAACTGCAGAACGCCACAGAGAGGCTTGTTCCAGCCGGGACCAAACTACGGCAGTCATTCATGATTCGGGGACAAAGGGCAGGAATAAATCAGACTCGCTGGCTATGGTATGCCTAATGCACGTCAGATCGGGGGCGTCGCCCGTGCAAAGCACGGCTTTCCACGTGGGTGTCTCACCCAACTCATGTAGTACAATGCAAGATCAGTAAGCATATTTTTTAATATCCCTAAATTCAGGGATCTAGGCGCTGAAGTGAGACCCATGCTTAGGGCGTTGAGAAGACAGGGGTAGAGTCTGGGCGGGATTGGGTGATGCAACACACAGCCTAATGAGTAACATCAGTGTATTACCCCAATTTAGTTGTTATAGGGCTGCAGTATGATTAAGGCAGCCTCGGGCTGTTTTGTATACATACTTAAGGCCCCCACCTATTTTAGTGGTTCAACGCTAGCAGGGATATAGTCGGGGTGGCACAGACTATGCGCTTGTCAAATCGTTGGATCCTATCACAAACCCTGTCCGTGCCACCCCAACCCCAGGCACCCCTGTCCAGGCCTTGATCACCTCAACCCCTGCTGTGCCATAACTCCAACAACGCCAACATCGTTATCCAAACCTGGCGCTCGGCGGAGCTGCACCCAAATACGGCAATGGCGGTCCTAATCCGACCTCATGTCAGATCCTTCTTCTGGCGTCGGGTAATCCAAGACACGGCTCAGGTCATCAAGTATCATGGCATATGGGTCGTGGTGTAGGCTGTGATGGAAGACTTCTTTTCGCATCTCTGTGCCAAATTTTTCGAACACAGCACCAACACAATGGACTCCGACATGTCGTTTCCTTCGAGTTCATCATCCCCATTTTCTTTTTGTTTGACACCTATACCCCAATCACTGCGTTCGACACGGCTAGAGTACCAAGACTTAGCGTACGAATGGCACGTCCCTGAAATACTGCACAACCATCTTGTTCAGTTATGGGAAAAATTTACCGCGGATCTTCGAATCAAAGCCACTGGAAGCGACGACCAGCCTGGCTCTGTACTGGAGCTGCTGTCTCAGTTTCTCCTACACATTATGCAATACGAGCTTGGTGGAACACCAGGCTTGTATCAGTCCGACTGCGTCGAGCTTCTTTTAGCGCAGATAGAATCAGACTTTCTTGGAGACTGTAGCATCCAAAGCGTCGCTTGCAATATGCCAGGAACTTCGTCGCAGAAGCAAACTGTCATCCAAGCGTATGTGGCTGCCACTCAACACATAGGACGTCCATGCTTGAGAAAGGCGCCAAGAACTGCCATCTTCGACCAGGACGCAGGCCAAACAACTCAGACATACGCCATCTTTGGAGGCCAAGGAAATACCACAGACTATCTACAAGAGCTGCGCGCTCTTTTCGAGACGTACACACATGTCGTCAAGCCAATACTCGCCACTGCTGAGGACGCACTCCGGACCTCTCTCCACGACGCCTCCTCATCCCGCCTTAAGCACTTCAGACATGGGATGGAGATATCTCAATGGTTGCGAAGGCCTGACAGCGCTCCTTCGACGGATTATCTACTATCGGCACCTGTCAGCTTTCCTCTGATAGGACTGCTACAGTTCGCCACATACGCTGTCGTCTGCTGGTCACTCCAAAAGACACCAGGAGAGGTGACTCAAACCTTCAAAGGAATGGCCGGTCACAGTCAAGGCATCGTCGTTGCTGCCACTCTTTCAACAACTACAACATGGGAGTCGCTTCACTGCGCTCTTGTTCAGGCGTTGAAAGTGTTGTTCGAAATTGGTGTTGCGGCTCAGGAAGCGACCCCGGGTATTGATGTTCCGCCCTCCATCATCGCGAAAGCTACCAATGCTGGCGAAGGAGCTCCGACCCCAATGCTCAACGTATCAGGGTGTGATCCGAAGCGCCTAAAGAAATATATTGATGAGGTGAATGGATTTCTTGACGAGAGTCAACGAGTCTCAATTTCACTCATCAATGGACGAATGAACTTCGTCGTAGCCGGACCCACACTCTCAGTGTGTGCTCTAGCGAGAAAGCTACGCCGGCTCAAAGCGTCGCCAGAAGAATTCCAGGACAAGAAGCCGTTCTCGTCAAGGAAACCGGAATTCTCGCTTCATTTCTTGCCCATAACATCGCCTTTTCACACCCTACATCTCAAAAACACAGCTCCCAGCGTAGTGGCAGCGCTAGAGAGCGTGAAACTTTGCCCAAGCATGCTCAGAGTACCCGTCTACCACACTCATACTGGACAAAATCTCATGGAGTCCAAAGTCACGAGTATTGTCCCTGATCTGGTCGAGATGATCTTGTGTCAGGTTAATGACTGGCCGTCATCGACTAAGTTCAAGGCTGCTACACACGCAGTCGACTTTGGTCCAGGCGGCCCATCTGGAGTCGGTTCCCTGCTGTCACGAAACACGGAAGGGACTGGACTGAGAGTCATTCTTGCTGGGCTTTCTGAAAGCACTACTCCCGAGTTCGGAGATATGGCTGAGCTTCTGAGTGCCAAGCCTACATTCAGTGCAAACTGGGCTGAGAAGTACTCACCACGATTGATCCAGACCAAGGGGGGTATTCAGATCCGGAATAAGATGACTCGTCTCCTTGGGCTCCCACCGCTCATGGTCGGAGGCATGACGCCGACAACTACTTCTTGGGAGTTTGTCAGCGCAATCGTCTCATCGGGTTATCACGCGGAGCTCGCAGCGGGTGGTCTTCACACTGCAGAGGACTTCACCCATGCTATTAAGAACCTCTCTAGCTCAATTCCATCCGGCAGAGGGATCTGTATCAACATCATATATGCCAGCCCTCGCCAGGTCCGATGGCAACTTCCACTCATCCGAAAGCTTCGTGCTGAAGGGTTCCCAATTGATGGCATCACCTTCGGGGCCGGAGTTCCTTCGACTGAAGCCTTGAAAGAATATTTGGATATCGGCCTGAAGTACCTTTGCTTCAAACCCGGTTCGACCTCTGCCATTAACCAAGTTATCGCCATTGCGCGCACGAACCCAGGTGTTCCGATTGTGTTGCAATGGACTTCCGGCCGAGGCGGTGGCCACCACTCGTACGAAGACTTCCATGATCCAATCATCAAGATGTATGCCAAGATCAGGCGATGCGACAACATTGTACTAGTTGCCGGGAGCGGTTTTGGTGGTGCTGACGATACATACCCTTACCTTTCTGGAGCCTGGTCTTCGCGATTCGGTCTTCCGCCAATGCCATTCGATGGCGTGCTATTCGGCAGCCGGATGATGGTCGCCAAGGAGGCCAAAACCAGTCAAGGAGCCAAAGAAGCGATTGTGGCAGCTCCCGGAATCGACGACGAAGCTTCGTGGGAGCAGAGCTATAAGAATCCCATTGGCGGCATCGTCACAGTCAAGAGTGAAATGGGCGAGCCCATCCACAAGTTGGCGACCCGCGGTGTTCTTCTCTGGCGTGAGCTTGATGGAAAGATCTTCAGCATATCCGACAGGGCTCAGAGACTGGAGAAGCTGCTATCTATGAAGTCATACATCATCAAGCGGCTCAATGAAGACTTCCAGAAAGTCTGGTTCGGACTTGACAGCCAAGGCAATGCCGTTGACCTGGAAGACATGACATACGCCGAGATTCTTCATCGCCTTATTCAGCTCTGCTATGTCAAGAAAGAGTCCCGCTGGATTGACAAGGGCTACAAGCAGCTAACGATAGACTTTATGCGTCGCATGTGCAGCCGGCTTCAGCGGTCTGCGCTACCAAAGGTCGATATGGAGCAACCTCTACAGGCTCTACAAAAAGCGCTGTCATTCTGCAAATCAGCGGATAGGGAGCTGGTCACATATAGTGATGCTCAATACTTCTTGCTTCTCTGCAAACGCCCGGGCCAGAAGCCAGCTCCCTTCGTCCCCGTTCTCGACGAAGACTTTGAAACATGGTTCAAGAAGGATTCACTCTGGCAATCAGAAGAACTTGCCGCCGTGGTTGACGAAGACGCCGGGCGGACTTGCATCCTTCAAGGTCCAGTAGCGGCAAGATATTGTACAAAGACCAACGAGCCAGTGGGTGAGATCTTGGGTGGCATTAGTCAGCAACACATCTCCAGAATACTGGGAGAGGTATACGGAATTGACAAAAATCTCATAGTACCAGCGGATGAGTCAGCAATTCGTCGCGGAGAAACACCAAACCCCATCGACCTCCCGGCGTGCTGTCGTGTCAGCCGTCAAGAATCAGCAACAATTATCTCCATCGATGAGACAGCGTGCGAGGAAAGACTACCGCATATTGATCGCTGGGCAAGAGCTCTTGCTGGAGATAATAACACATGGCTATCAAGCTTACTGATGTCTGAGGATATCATTCGCGACAAGATGGTCACCCCCAATCCCATCCGACGAGCACTTGCTCCGCTCCCTGGTATGCGAGTTGAACTATCTGATGCAGCCTCACCGTCGGCGCCTTCTCTCGTTGTCTTCGAGAAGGCCTCCAGTGTTGAGCCTTCATTGGAGATCCGCAAGGAAGGCGATGCGGTATTTGTGACAATGCTTGTAGACGAGTCGGTGGGAGAAGCCATACTCTCCTTTTCGTTTCACTTCGTGTATCGCCCCGACACTCCTCTTCACCCAATCCACGAGATCAGCGAAGGCCGTAACGAGATGTTGCAGAGATTTTACCACCAATTGTGGTTTGGCTCTGAGCTGTGCCTGGCGAAGCCAAATGCCCCGGAGCTTGACCTTTCAACACTCGTTATCGAGGGCCAGCCAACCAAGATTTCTCCATCATTGGCACAGGCTTTCATGGACAGCATTGAACAGCCAGGCCTATTCCGCGTACCCAAGGCGGGTGTACCACTGGATTACTCCATCGTCATGGCATGGGAGGCTATGATGAAGGCCACCTTCCCTGGCGCCACTGGATGTGACTTCCTGAGTCTTGTACATCTGTCAAACAAGTTCACGGTGCTAGACGAGAAACCTCTCAACATTTCCGAGAACACTGCTACTGCCGCCGAGATTAAGGCTATTCGCAATCTCCCAGCTGGACGAGCAGTTGAGGTCATGGCTACCATCACCCGGGACGGTGTTCCAGCAGTAGAAGTCACTTCAGAGTTCCTTTTCCGGGGCACGTACACTGACTTTAGCGTCTGCTTCGAGAGACGAAAGGAACCCAAGATGGCAGTTACCATGAATCGCATGGCCGACATCGCTGTTCTGCAGAGCAAGGCATGGGTGTCATTCAAGCAGGACTTTGATTTCAAGTCCCTGCTTGGCCAAAGGCTCGTTTTCGACTTGCACACTCTTGGCCATCTCGCATCTGCTACGACCTATCGCAGCCTACAGGTGTCTGGAAAGATGTTTCTCGAAGACCCTGAAACAAAATCACTGCGTGTGGTGGGAGACGTGACCTACCAATCCATGGGTCCAACAAGTAGCAACCCGGTTATTGACTACTTGAGTCGCTGTGGGACACAAATCAACGTCCTCAACACGCTTCCAACACCACAGCCTCTTGGTGAGAAGGAATCCCTCAGCATAACAACGCCTCTCGACAACAATGCCTACGCACGTGCGTCTGGTGATTTCAACCCAATCCACGTTTCCCAAACCGTCGCGAGATACGCCAACCTGCCTGGCCCCATCACCCACGGCATGTACACCAGCGCTGCTGTGCGTCAGGTTGTCGAGAAAGCCGCCGGCTGCAGTGACAATGTACGAATGCGGTCATACAAGGCTTCGTTTGTGAATATGGTTCTACCCAACAGCGTCTTGGATGTACAAATTCACCACACTGCAATGAAAGACGGTCTGCGAGTCCTGTCGTTCCAAGCCTTGCACTCAGAAAGCAAGCAGGTCGTCTTGGAAGGCGAAGCAGAGGTGGACCAAGCACTCACAGCGTACGTCTTCACCGGCCAAGGAAGCCAGAAGCAAGACATGGGAATGGACCTGTACGCCACGTGTGAAGTTGCACGCCAAGTCTGGGACGAAGCCGACAGGTTCTATTCAGAGACCTATGGTTTCCTGATCAGCGACATTGTCAAACAGAATCCCAAGCGACTCACCGTGTTCTTTGGCGGAAGGCGCGGCCGAAAGATTCGAGAGAATTACATGAACATGATGGTCGAGTCTATTGATAGGCGACCAGAACGCTTCTTTACATCTATCACGCCCACAACAACAAGCTACACCTTCGAGCACAACGCCGGATTGCTTTTCAGCACCGAGTTTGCTCAGCCCGCTCTCACCGTCATGGAGCGCGCTCAATTCTTGCATCTGAAGAGTCAAGGCCTGGTCACTCCAAGCGCGCTCTTCGCCGGCCACTCACTGGGCGAGTATACGTCTCTGAGCACGATTGGCGAGATCATGCCGTTCCGAAACCTGCTTTCGGTAGTATTCTATCGCGGCCTGACGATGCGAAGTGCTGTCAAGAGGGATGCCCATGGCCGTTCCAAATACGCCATGGTTGCGGTGAACCCCAGCCGCGCAAAAACCACACCAGGCGTACTCTTGCAGCTCGTGGCAAGCATCGCATCTGCTTTGCCTGAAGACCTGCTGGAAATCGTCAACTACAACGTCGAGACTCAGCAGTACGTCGCTTCTGGCACGCTGAGGGCATTGGCGTGTCTGGGCGACGTCATGGATTCCATTGCCAAAAACCCAAGGCTCTCCCCTGAAGACATTGGTGCGCTGGTTACAGCTAGAGTTGCAGCTAGCACGGAGCAGATGCCCGTCCTCAAACGGGGAGTAGCGACAATCCCGCTGGATGGCATTGACGTGCCTTTTCACAGCAGTTGCCTGCTGCCCAAGATGCCCGCGTTCCGACGCGTACTACAACAATACATTGAGCCTGGAGCTATTAACTCCAAACTCTTGGTTGGAAAGTACATTAGCAATGTGACTGGAAAGCCGTTTGATATTTCGTACGAGGGAGTTAGCTCATTGAAGCAGTTGACTGGAAGTCCTGTTTTGGACAAATTGATGGTAGAGATGAAGGCATGATATTCCGGCGTTGATTAGCATCTGGTTAGAATTTTTGTGTATAGCAGTTGTTTGTCATGTATTTACTTCTTGCAAATTCTTTCATCAATGTACGTATATGTATATCTATGATTTTCTGGCTTTTGGTGCATCGAATTTGGGCATCACTTCTAATCAGATACATCGACAAAGTTGAACGTGCTCTTACCACACAGCAGGTTCATAAATAATATATGTGTCTATAAGTTGTACATGCATACTTGAAACTTCCTCTGTGGCATCTGGACGGGCGAAGCCAAGACTCAGTCTTTCTTCCATGTGAAGAGCACTTTGCAACATAAGAGATATGAAATGAATCTCCCTCAAAATCTCACAGGCCCCTACTATCCATCGCAATCACAAACACACAGTCTACTTCAAAAATTCCCTCTTCAGAAAGCACTGAATCTTCTACATGGTTTTTCACACTCGATCGAATTCACCAGATCATCGTTAGACTTCTCGGAATCCACCAAACCACCCCCCCCCCCAGGACGACAGGACGATAGTGCCCCAGATCCACTGGGTACCTACCAAGTTCCCGGGGCCTCATTCTGTCAGTCTCTGCATAACTCAGCCCAGACTCACCCATGGATGCCTGAGGCAGTGACGGAGGCAGAGGAGCCTCTTCCCTGCCATTTGCTCGTATCGCGCATCCCAGAATATCGCGCCATCCCGGTGACTGGAAACGCTACAAAGGTCTAGATGTCTCGCGCCCATGCAAGGCATCCACGGTACCACAACCTCATAGCCCAGAACCACTGGCATTTGCTTCCAGCAAGAACCCTGAGAACAACATGTCTTAGCCGCAGCACCAAGGACCCTTGTGCCGGGGGGTACACATTCCGTCAACCAGACTATCGTTTTTTTTCTTCTTCTCTTGGGACTATCACAAGACGGCATAGATATTAGGTGTGTATGTATGTAACAGCAAACCTACCCTGGGACGTCACAAAACGCCAAGTCTAGTACTTAGCAGAAGATGCAGGGCTGCGTGTTTCCAGTCACCACCTCCATACATATATAGCTAACCCCCTCTAACCCTCCGGAACCCGGCAGCAGGCTCGTTTGCTCGCGTCAGAAAACGGTATGAAGCTGCGAGCTTACTACCCAAAGCAGCATCCCTGGAGCCATGCATGTTAAAAGGAAATAACACCCCAAATACGGTGTATTTTACCGACTTTAACCCTGCATGTGAGGAAGCGCGGATTGGGGCATCAAATTATGCAAAACAAGGCGGTTCAATGTGCACAGCACACACACACACACACCACCTTTTCCGCACCCTTTACTCGAAATTCCCATGGTCCTTCAACGGCGCCAAAAACAATGCATGTATGATGGACATGACGGCCCCAGGTGCCGCAAACCCTTCAAACCCAACCAAGTACAGCCACAACCACAATAACCACATTAATCACTGCCACAACAACAACAACAACAACAGCCGCAAACTTTCCTATCCAACCCCGCAACACCTCAGCCCAGCCCCAAACATATCCCCCCCATCCAAACCTATAAGTAATCCATTAAGTCTCAATCACACCGCGCCACACCCCCCCCCCTCTTCCACTTCAGCCGCCGGGCGTAGTACCCGAGCCAACGAGCGTGCGGCAGCGCAAGCTGAATTTAAGAAAGAAAAAAAGAAAAAAAAATGGGCCAGCACGCGGGCGCGCGCGACACACAAAGTACATAACCCCCCCCCCCCCCATCCTCCCGTAAGCGTTATGTAAGTGGGAGTTCCCCCCATCATAAGCCTAGCCCCCATTCCTACTACTCGGCGCTATTTTATCTTTCCGGGAAGAGAGAGAGAGAGAGAGAAAAATTTGTTAACTACAGTAACTTGGATACTTCCGCTTTTGGTTGGTTGGTTGGTTTGAGGTGGGGGGGGGGGGCTAAATAATACGGAAAGTTGCCTTTTCGCTTCGCTTAGACCACCACACACACACACCAACTTTTAAGCAGAAATCTTTCATCAAAACTCGTCAATTTTCTATCAGATATAGGGGTAACACGTCGCGAGAAACCGATTTACGCCACCTCTAATGTGTGCAGCCCTCTCGTTGAGGTGCTAGAGGGGGTATTGTTGGCATTCTTGCGACGTGTTCGAAATGCGAAAATCTTCAAGAACGCACAGACCGCCCCAATGACTAATAGGGAGACTACCAAACGAAACTAAAAACAATTAAAAACACTAAATAAAACAACAAAAATCAAAAATCCTATATCTAAACGCCAAGACAGCCTGATCCCGCTATAGCACCATATCCAACCGCCAGGACAGTCTTTGCCTACTGTGGCACAAAATTCAAAAACGCTATAACAGTTTTCTGGTCTGTAATAGCAAAATAAGTCGAAACGCCGAGACAGTCTTCGCCTACTGTGGCACCAAATCCAAACGCTGATACAGAGACTGGTTACCTCTGTAGAAGCACCAAGTCGAAACGCCAAGACAGCTGCTACTCGCTGAGCACTAAGTCGAAACGAGAGAGTTACTCACTAAAACTTG